AAGAAGTCTGATAAGCTTTTTTTATTTCTAACTTCACACCACCAAATTACTTTATTGTCAAACTCGCAGTCTTGCAGTCAGAGCCAAATGATGGAGACACAGCTGGACCAAAAGCTGTAAACAGACTTCCCCTTTAACTAAACTCAAACTTGCAATGGCAACATTTTTTGGCTCTGGAGTATTTACTTTTTCTCATGTAAAGATGTAAATAAATGTAACCACCACTGAGAAATCCTATATGGATCTTGTTTGTGGACAGAAACAGTTAATTGAGTAAATGTAGCAGAACATTGGAATTGGCAGTTCTCCTGAGCCTAATCAGCTGCAATCTGGGAAAGGCGGTCATATTTTAGATTGGCATCACCACAAACCACATGGTTGTATATCTGTCAGTGGTGATTCATGCAGCACAGCTGTGTGTTTGCTTGCTTGTGTCCGTTACTGTGTGTTTGTATGGGTGGAAGGGGGAATCACATATATCACAAACATACAATACTGTTTACAGTATACCTGTTTATCAGTTAAATGGCATTTTAATAAAAAGTAGGGGAAAGCAGTACCACAGCATTACGAAGCAAAGTGAGCACAGAGAGAGAAGAGTCATGCACAAACCTCCCCCACCTTCCACTAAGATGTGGTATTGTTTTAGTCTCATGGAGGATATCCCAGGGAAATGTGATGTTGCACTAAACACAAAGAGAAGGGAAGTGCCTGCTATATAGACATAGACCTAGGGGCTGAGACATGCTGGTTTATCCTCACGCAGTGATTAAATAAACTCAGGATGGTTCTGAGAAGCCTCACATATAAACTGGGTCAAGTGGGCCCCTTGAAAACCCAGAGCATGACCTGTAGCTATCACTCTTGGGTGTCCTATAGTGTTTGGAAAGAGAACTCAAGCAGTGCGAGTTGTGTTAAAAAATAGATATCCACTATGGCATTTTTTTAGATTTACCACAGAGTACAGAGTGACATCAAATTATGAAGTCTGCTCTGCTCCACTTCCATGAATTCCCCTCCACATGTCACTTATTAGAGGAAGCAGTCAAGTCATTACGCATCTGAATTCACACCGACCAAAATTGGAAACCTGAAAACGACTGGGAAAACAGAGGAATGAGCCAGCAGCTCCTGCAAGCAAACCGTTTATGATTCATGAAAAAGGGCACCAGAGCAGACGTGCTGATATTTAGATCATCACTGTTTATTGCTAGCTCAAGCCACCAGACGAAGAGTCTATCCTTATAGATCTAAGTACTTAAACACAGTGCAGTGAAAAGTAAAGTTAGCGCATGTGGTCTTGGTACAGGCATTGATTACACCAATCACAGCAGCAACAGTCGCAGTTTTAGGGCAAAGCTGGTCAGCCGGGCGGAGAGAGCAGAGAACAGGCAGGGGGGGCTCTGGTATGTGAGGAATGTAGCTAAGGCAAACAGAAAGGCCCACACTCCTGTGTCTAATGAAATCAATGCTTCCAGCTTTTCTGGTGCAAGGGCCAAATCAGAGAGAGAGCAGCTCAATCAACACATGAGACTGACTGTGAGACATGTTCTTCTTGTTGAGAACAGCAGGACTGAATCTGAGATGAGCCTCGGCTGAAATCTGCTGGCCTACTTGCCCGTCCGCCCGACATATTCAAGCTCCCAGGCTGATCGTGTGAATAGGAGCCGATGGGGGGTAAACACAGGCAGGGCAAGCAGTGAAACATGAAAAATGAAGAATAAATTTGATTTACACCCACACAATGCACATCATCAGTCAGCAGGGAAGTGGTTCATGTATTCTGTATTTGCTCTCTGCTTCAAGACAAACACTAACACATTTCTATTTAGAGAGTTGCGGGTTTACTGAGAGGTCAGAAGTTGGAATTTTATATATATATATATATATATATATATATACGGTGGCACGGTGGTTAGCACTGTTGCCGCACAGCAAGAAGGTCCTGAGTTCAATTCCACCATCAGGCCGGGGTCTTTCTGTGTGGAGTTTGCATGTTCTCCCCGTGTCTGCGTGGGTTCCCTCCGGGTACTCTGGCTTCCTCCCACCGTCCAAAGACATGCAGTTTGTGGGGATAGGTTAATTGGAAAATCCAAATTGCCACTAGGTGTGAATGTGAGTATGAATGGTTGTCTGTCCTTGTGTGTTGGCCCTGCGACAGACTGGCGACCTGTCCATGGTGTACCCCGCCTCTCGCCCTATGACAGCTGGGATTGGCTCCAGCACCCCCCGCGACCCTGAAAAGGATCAGCGGTAGCGAATGGATGGATGGATGGATGGATATATATATATATATACACATCATTAATGTAAGGGCAGTGCTGAGTTATCAGCTAAGGCTTGGCTATCAATTTCTGTCCATAAACTGTTCTGTACAATCTAGATATCAGCTAATTAATGGTAACTAAGTAATAAAATACTGTAAGCACAAGTAAGCTGTAATATAATACACCAAATGGCACCAACAGCATAAACACAGTGGAGGGGTCGAGCTCAGTGACTGCAGTTAGTGAATGTGAGGCCAACCAGAGATATCAGCTAGAGATGCCTGTGTCTGGATGCCTGTCTATCAAAGAAGTTACACCCCTAACTCCAGTACCCATGAGGATGTTACAAAAAAGACTAGACTCCCATGAGTTGATATTAGATGGGGAAATCTTATTTTTTTGCATGAGGCTGTAGACATGTTTCTTAATGCTCTGAAAGCTCGGTATTTGAACATGGAGTCTTGTTTTTGGAACCAGCAGCACTTTTTTGCACTCCTACATTAGCTACCCCCTTTTTTTCTTTTTGGCTTAGTGGCTTAGGTTACTGGTTAGTGTGGGTGTCAACCCAAGATAACTGACTACATCTGGAGGGTGCCGGGGCCACATATGGCCACATTCTTTAAGCAGCATACAAGTAATCACGTGTCCTCAGCAAAAACAGTGTGTGTACTCCTTTGGGCACCGGTGGTGTCTTATTCGACATAATGAAAATTTTGAAAAGGATTTAGAAATATATTAGAGGTTCACTAATCATCTTGGGCTGTTTAAATGGCCTGCAACACACCAAGGAATACTTATTCTGACGTCTTCTTTTAAATTCCAGCACACCAGTCACAATTTCTGGTCTTTGCCCACTGAAATAATCTAGGTGTTTATTGTCATATTGAGCAGGGGCATGACATTCTATTACACAAGTGGTCACTTGAGACCAGATGCTGTAAATAAAAGATGGATATAGCCATCGTGACCTTACCCGTTGGTTTGTGCAGACCTGGTGAGAAGTCTCACCATTTTTTCCCTTTTTTTAGAGCTTGAAGTGACCGTATATGGACGAGAAGATCTAGAGATAGGTTATCAGCTAACAGTAGCAACCTGGGTTAGCTGCGTGTATCTGTAGACTGCCATATTATTTGTCTGATTACTGCATTAAAATTGCTGAAAAAACACACCAACATCTCAAATATGGCCGAGAGGTCTATTTCAGAGACCTCCTCATATTAGGTAAGATCGGATTTAGCAGATAGTATAGCAACCTAGCTGGCATATGTTTGCTCAGTGTGACCATGGGCCTAGTTGTGCATCACTTTAGTTAATTAAAATGGGTCATAAAAGGAAAAAACAAACAAACAAAAAAAACCCGCGTTAGTATCTGGCTTTAAACATGCTTATTTCTGCAGTGAAGTTTAGTATTTGAACATTTGAGCCAATTAAATTTACCTGCTTTTAGCAAGCCTCAAGTGGCAATTTAAGGTATTGCCGTTTTTGGTACTTTACTGCTAGCTTCACCTCTAGAGGTTGCCCCTTGCTCTACATCAGGGTAGGCAACTCCAGGCCTCGAGTGCCGGTGTCCTGCAGGTTTTAGATGTGTCCTTGATCCAACACAGCTGATTCAAATTGCTAAATTACCTCCTCAAAATCTCATGAAGTCCTCCAGAGGCCTGGTAACGAACTAATCATTTGATTCAGGTGTGCTGACCCAGGGTGATATCTAAAACCTGCAGGACACCAGCACTCGAGGCCTGGAGTTGTCTACCCCTGCTCTATATTCATGTCAAGAATAATAAGGATACTTGCACAGTCTGAGCCCAACTAACCCTAGCATGCCATTTTGAAATATGCATGTGCCATCAGAGAAGAAAAAAAATCAATTGATAGAAAGTCCGGGTCATTCAGTGTATTCAGGTAGTCAGGTGACCTCAGTTTTTGGGGGGCATGTTAACTGAACCTGGATCCGGTCAGGTAAAGCTGCCTCGGATCATTAGTGTTGCCCCCACAGGCTTGTACAGTAGATGCATGTGGATGCATCACTTTATCTGCCTGATCCACTGATCATTCTGGAAGAAGACAAATCTGGACTCATCAGACCACGTGACCTTTGTCCTATCTTTATGCCCCATAGCAAACACAAGCCTTTTTTTTTTCCATTGAGCCTCACTGATAAGTGTTTCTTCCTCACTAGTTTTAATCATTCTCCTTAGCTGTATTCTGTGCTTGATGCAGGCCAGTTGTATGACCCCTCTGAAATGGAGCAACAGCTTCTCTGTGACCACGTGGTCGTTTAAGGTTAAATAACCTGTTGCCATCCAAAACACATTAATCGCTGCTGCTTAGGTTTGGATTTCCACCATGAAGTTAGAATGGTATATGCAGAGTGGCACTTTAACCAGTAGTCCACGATGACAGAATGAAATATAATTGTGTGGGGGTTTTTAAAAGAGGAAATACTCAAATTATTCACACTTCACTGGAGGCAGTACAAACTCAGGGGAAATTTAACTGTCACATCAAGTTTGTGTGAGACAACTAAACAATGGACACTGCGCCTTCACAATGACTGAAAGTAATTCATCCTGGCTCTCCTTTTTCTTTTCAAAGTCTCGCAGCAGTGCTCACATCAGTCACAGGGATCAGCTTTTTACACACACTCACTCACTCTCAAGCCCCGCCCTCCTCGGCGTCATCGACCCAATCACTCACTCTCCTCCTCCGCCACAGTCTGGCGCTCTTCTCACCGCGCAGCTTATTCTGTATGCTCCTCAAACTCTAACTGAAGCTGAGTCCGGACCAAAACGGCTACCTACATTCCCGAGGACCACTTTCTGCGCCGCTCATGAACTTTTCATTCCTACAATCCAGAAGAAACACTCGGGGAACACCTGGACACTCACGCTTCCTAGTTATATAACTTTTTGCTGCACTTGAGTGACTCCTTTACATTCCTCATACTTTATCTCCGGACTCACGCCTATTTTTCTCGTTTTTCCTTTCTTTTTTTTTTTTTTTTTTTTTTAAATCAACGAACAAAAGTCTTATTTTTCTGTTACTCAACTACTCTGAATAGACCAAATAAGCAGGAATCAGTGGCCTCGTTTTTGCACAACATATACATAGTCATAACTGTTTTATTTTTTTACGTTTAGTCTTAAGTTAAGTAAGGAAACAGTAAACAATGGCAGGTGTGAACTCTCTGGATGCTGTGAAGAGAAAGATTCAGTGTTTGCAGCAGCAGGCCGACGACGCAGAAGATCGGGCTCAGGTCCTACAGAGAGAGCTGGACAGTGAACGGGAGCTCCGGGAAAAAGTGAGACAATCAACTCCTCTATTGTTCTAGCTTTTTCTATTGTCGCCATTTCCCATGTATTATAATCATTAAACACGGACTGAATTGTTCGTATTCGCCTCTCGGGCTCTAGAAAGTCTTATTAGTCTCATGTCATTGATTCACTGGTGGCGGGCGTGAATGTGCCACAATGCAAGGCGTTGGTCTGCAACGAAAAAAAAGTTTGGATTCCTACAGCTCTTCGCGCATGCTCCGTGTGACTTGAAGGCCGCTGTGAAACTACAGTGATTAGACCACGTAGACAGCGTTGAAGTGATTGTGCAAATTGTGGCGAATCTATTAGCCTGACCAGTTTATTTCTTTTAAAGTCAAACAATTCTTGTGTTAATTGTATCATAATTGTGACTATATTTTCAGTCAGATTCCATTTGGTTTGCGGGTTAATGGGACAATGTTTTGGACTTGGAATTTCAATGGAATTCACTTTTTAACACTGATTTGCTCAAAGGCACTTCGGCAAGGGTGGCTGTTTTCCCTCGGCAGCTGTCTGGTTGAAGGGCTGACCCTCGGGCCTCCACAGATGATCGGAAAATACAGGGCACAGTTAAAGAGTGTCTCCTCTGTTATTAGGGACACAAAGGAGTAGCTCTAAAAATGTTGCTGTTTTCAGCTAGAAGCAAAAGATCAGCTGCTTCATTGATCAGTCAATCAACAGTCAGTAACAGTTGAGATCACCTTTAAGTTTTTTATTATAAAACTGTAAATTGGTGAAGTTGAACAATGAAACAACTGAAAGCTGTTTTCCACACCTCTTTACATTAAACTGTAAAGTTTGGGTTATTTGCTCAGCTTGGGCTGAAATTAGTCATTGCTAAAGTTCCACAAATTGAGCGTCTTTAACCATTGCCTTCAATGTGTCAGATGTGACTCATATATTGAGTAATTGGCGGGTCTGTCACCTGCCTGTCTCTTGACTGTGCCCACATCCGAGTTTTATGGCTTCACATGCAGAAAAGGTAGTGGCTGGAGGGGAGAGAGAGAAAAACGCTTAGTAGCAGCACAGTTAGGCAACAGTTTTTGACTCGTTTCACGTGCTGCTTTATGGCACACAGTGCCATACTTTTTGCATAGGAGTTATTTTAATGATAGGACAATGAGAAAGACTTCAGGAGGGTGGGAGGGGAAGGTGTGGCAGTAAAGATATGGCAGCTGAACTGATGAAAGGAGTTGGGCCTGCTGCAAGGCAAAGCCCTTTGTTACAGGATGGCTATTAGGTAACAGGCCACCTTTTTAATTTGGCCAATGGGCGTGTGGGTAATTATTTTGGTATGGACTCACATACCGTATCGGTTTAAGAAGTTTGGCTTCATAGTTGGCTTGTTTGTGTTGCAGTTTGTGGTTGTTCAGTGGGTGCTTTGTGTACTTTACAAGTGTTTCTGTTCAATGTTTGTGCAAACTGCAGCATGAACTTCAAAACACTGACACAGGAATGGTAACTGAATGAATGAATGATATGGGGATGCCCCGTATAACTACATCTGCTGTCAGGGTGCATGTGTGGTCTCACATCAATGAAGAGCTGAAAGGGTTGTGTTTTTTTTAAGAAATTAATTGTTAGAAAATTTTTTATTGCATATGAGACAGACTGGCTGGTCAGTTTGGTCCAGCATTTCAAAACTGATGAACCAGGTTTCAGAGGTGGACTTATAGTTGTTGACCAGTACTTATAAGTATGTCTTGTATAGTGTGTTTACACTGAAATGGGAGGGTGTGGTTAAACTCTTATCTTCAGAGTGGATGCTGCATTTAAAAATTTTTTTTCATTCCTGTCAGGATTAACGTGCACAAGCAGTTTGATGTCCCACATGTCCCTCCATTCAAAGTCGAACACAGGGGTGCAACTGTGTGGCGAGGCTGGTGTGGTCCCATGTGTGAATAATTAGGACAACCTGGAGTTATTCCTTGGCACAGAAAATCCTTCTGAGTGCGGGGAGATCAAAACAAGAACCTTGCTGCGTGTAATGAATCATTCTTTAAAAATGTGTGAGGGAGTACAAAAACGTTGGCTACGTCTCTCGCTGATAAAGAAAATTGCTTCATGTTATTGTGGTTTTGACGCTTCTGGGGATGTTTCTTAACCTCTCGGTAATGATTTAAGGTTGTAGTCAAAGGCTTGTGATGCTTTTTGTTTATAGCCACTATTTCTCTACATGAATTCGTTCAGTTTTCGCAGCAGAGTCGGGTCAGAGGTGATCGTTTTGACTGTGTTCGGAGTCCTGTAAAGAGCACAGATGAAGCAGATTAGTTGTTTTTGGAACATGGAAGCAAATTTGAGTGCTTCTCCTTCTGTCAGACACTTAATAATGACAAGATTAGTTTAAACAATCAGTCATGACCAAAATAAGAAAAAGAGACGGGGAAAAAATATCTGCTTCCTTTTCTGAAATTGAGGCTGTTGTGAGGACAACTTACAGTTGCCATGGTGAGCATCAGTGTTTCACCACACGCAAGTTGAAATACAGAAATAAATATAAAAAGGGAAGTGGAATTCTTACTGAGGAATCCCCACGCACGCCCTCCCTCCGACTGACCCTCCCAGGATGTCGGCTGCCGACCCTGGTCCAGTACTTCCTGCGCTTCTACTCCCAACACTTCCTGTCCCCTGGCTCCAGCCCTGATCAACAGGAAGATTACTGTGCTCGGTGAAGTTGGTATTTCTACATTGATGTGCCACTTCATCTTTAGTGTCCTGTTATGTTCTTATAGTTACTAACACTATTCTCTCCATGTAGAGCAGAAGTCTGCAGTCTTTTTTTGCACTACAACATTTAATTAGACACACTGAAGTTGCATCCTACGCTTATGGCAACTGTATTTGTTTACTTGCATCTCATATCGAGAGTAAATTGCAGGAAGCCATTCAAAAAAATGCTTATCGTGAAAAACGACGTCCCCACACTCATCTGCTGAGCTAAAGGTGTTCGTTTGTTGCTTTGTGCGGTCAGCTAAGGCTTTCTGCTGGGCCTCTAGGAGTCTCCAGCAGATTCTGTGGAAAGAATTACTTCCTGATTTCACTGTTTTCTTTGGACTTTCTCCCTGGGAATAGCTCAACTTTCCAAATATAACTGCCACATGTTGATACTTTTTGGCAGTCGCTGGCATCCTGGGGAACACTCCCATGTAAGTGGCTTGTGGCTTTGCTGATTATGCAGGCCAAGGCTGAGGGTTCTCATTCAAACGAGGAGTGGGTTATATTTGTTCGGTTAGTCCTAGCACAGGCGAATTTGCTGTAATGTCGTTAAATAGCATGTATACAGCACCAAGTTGTTTGAACTGCTTTTAGAGTCCATGAAAGTGAGTCACTTCAGCGAGTCTGTTTGCTTGTGAATGCAGAGTGGAAATGGTAACCTGAAGGAAACTCGGATTACCGGGATTCATATTTGACCTGCAGGTAAAAATCACCCTGTTAATATTTATCTGGAAAGTTAGATTGCATCAACGCTGGAAAAATTTGGTTTTTCTTATGGTTTGTGGATTCCTGGTGGTGCGGTTCACAAATGGGTTGCAATCAGCCTCTGATTAGGATTAGACACACTGAGCTGAAGACTCAGACCAGAGTCGAGATCCTCCTAAAAGTCTGAGTACATGCTTTTAAATGGCGACAAATTGTTTAGCGCTGAAGGAGCTCATTGTGATGCTTGTCTGAATGTTTAACAACCGTCTTTTACATACTTCATGACAGACTGGCTTATACTTTATGCAGCTTTCTTTGCATGCCAGATCTTTGTGGGAAATGATTACACACTTTCTTTCTGTCACGAACCAACACAGAGTAACTTTAAGAGCAGCAGGCAGTCAGGAATAACTTGCACTGAACCCCAACAGCATTGTGCCGCTCATTAGCCCACTGCCCTGAAATCAGCCAGTAATTAGATTCCTCTTTCACTTGTCCTTGATGCTGTCTCTAACATATGTAATACACTCAGGTATTTCTTAAGTCACTCCCAGCAGTCTGCAGCCTCACTTCGAGTGCTCTAACTTCAACTAAGACAGATGAATCACTCCATGCCATCAGTAGTACCGTAGTCTGTGCCACTTACTAATGCAGTGTCTGTTAAAAAGGTAGCTTAATGTCATGGAACATCTTGCACTGCTTTCTTGCTGCACAATAAAATGAAACTATGGCAGTCAGTCAGTGTAATCTGCTGAAATCAGCCCATCTAAGCTCACTAATTAACACTATTTATTGGCTGGGAATGATGGCAGTTAGGCTCTTTAAATCCGCAGCTTATCCATAGTCTCCACTGTAGCTGGGAACTATTTTGTCAGCCCAAAGTTTTGTGTTTTGAGATTGTTAACAGTGGTTTTTATTTTTATTTTTTTTTAAATCTCACACTAGAATTTAGTTCCCGAAATGTTGAGCTAAAGCTTTAGGAATCTTGTGGCTCTAATAGCCACACAGCCTGCTGGTTGCACTGAGTAGTAAAGCTCCATTCCTGACTTAGAAAGCTGGTGACATATTAACTTACGGTGACAACAGAGCAGCTACTTGTGTCCCAGTATCTTTTAAAGTCTGCGTGGTTGTTGCCTCAGTCTTCCTGATACTCCACCACAAACATTCTCCATAGTTTGTTTTACCATATAAGGCAGGGTGCGTCCCTGGCAGCCAAAGAATGAAAAGTGGGTGCTAAAGGAAGGGGCATGGCCAGAGAGACAGACGGAGCAGTGAAAGAAAGAACAATCAAAGGGAGGAAATGAAAGGATGTTGGGCAGCATACTTCCTGTCACCTTTTTTCAAGATCCTCATTTGCTATATGATGAGTAGTGAAAGCTCGTCGTTAACCTTACTTCTTGTTTCTTGGCATTTATGGTAACATTGTTTTGACATCGTGTTCGCACAAAGGCTCTGAATACTTTTCAGTCCGCTTTTGCTGCTGGGCTTGTGGCTGCACCAGCCAAGGTTAAATGATTTTCTAAAGCTGCAGAAGAGTCTGTGGCTAAAACTGTGCATTCAGGATTTACAGGAAAGGCTCTTCTTTGTTCACAGCTCAGTCAATTAGAAGCATGAGATAACCTGTAAATACATTCATTTTTTTTCCTTTTAAACCTGACACAAGGGTGTCTCTGTCTGTATGGGGCTCCCCCACTCCCTGCCTTTTTTGCTATGAGCAGATGGCAGATAAGGCACCAGGTTGCACACATTTCTGTCACTGCCACCATACCGGTGTTAGCTGAGGTTTTTATGTTTGTCTGTTTTGATACTTGAACGCAGTTTACTGGGTAGGAGACTGGATAGCTGGTAATTGTGTGTGTGTGTGTGTGTTTGAGAGAGGCAGAGATTGGTGCAATAAGAGTGTCTGTTTGCATGTTTGCAGAGCGTGTGCGTGTCTGGAAGCACATTACAGCAGCTGGTGCGCTAACGTAGATGACCTAAAACAGATGAATAGCATGTTTGTTTGCGTGCTGGACATTGCTCCATTCAGGACACAGGAAGTACCAATATCTGTTATTTCAGGTTGCAGTTGAATACTAGGTAACGTTTCTGGGCAGCCAGATGTGGCATCGATGGATGCAGACCTGTGCGAGCGACACTGCTGATGAGATTTCAAGATGTTCTGAGCGATTTATGATTTTTCATTCATTCTGTGTCCGGTTCGGTTTTCAACGTCTGTCAAGTGCCGGCGGTTTTGAGACACGTCAGCGATAGTTAGGCAGACATTTCCTGTCTCGTATGGGTGGCCTCCCCTGTGAGCTTTCTGTGCAGCAGGGGAGGACCTGGGAGAGGATGAAGAAGAGGGTGGAAAAAAAAAAACACACAGACGACCGGCGGTGGGAGTGGCGGGTCACCAGGCCAAGATTAGATTAGATGGATGCAAGATGGAGAAAATACTAAAAATGAGAATGAAGCCTGTGCCATCATGCTTGGATTTCCTGAACATATCGAGTCTATGACAGAATGGAAGTCTCAGTATATTTAAGCTCTCTGTTCTTTGCATTGGTCCTTCTTATCAGTCATCTCATTTTCTATTTGTGACTTTCGGTCACCAGTTTCTGCGCAGAATGACTCCTCTGCCTGTAAGCTGAATGGTGGAGACACTGACGGTTGATCAGAGCGATTGCTGGACTGAAAAACTGGCTAATGAGTCACTGACCTACTAACTGCTGCCCTCATCAGAGCAGAGAATACAGCTTGCGAGGTTGTAAACATAATAAACTTGTGTGAGTACTCCGGGTTTCAGTGAATGGTTCAGCAACTTATCGGTCTGGTTGTGAACTTTCATTTTAACAGCAGGTTCTTTGTGTTATGCTAAGACTGAGGTCAGTTTTTACTTTGAATGCAACTCCCAAGGAGATGATTGTTGGATAAACTCCCCGACCAACAGAGGAAATTCTTGTGTAGTTGTCTGTTTGCTTTCTTTTTTCCTCTTTCTGGCTTTTTGTTTATCGAGGGCAGACGAGCAGAAGCCCATTCGTTCTCCCTCCTTTGCCCAGTTGTGGCTTGAGCATCACCGGAAATTGAGTTTGTCTAAATGTTTCGCTCAGACGTCCTGCTACATTGTAAGGAATTACACTTTCCAGCCAGATGCAGCATGTTCTCATTAAAGACGGTTAGAGTTGGGCCCTGCTTTTATGGACGAATCTCCCAACGACCTCCAGCTGCCTCCATTTCACATTTTAACCGTCACATTTTGATTTGAGAAACCCGAGTGACCCCAGAGAGCACACAGAGTAGATTACACTGTCTCCCCCTCACTCACTCACTCACTCACTTGCAGCCTTTGTTTGGATTCACTTTGTTAGTGAGGATTAGGATATGAATGATAAGGGTGAATATTTCCCTGTCGTCATAGCACCATGATTATATTCAGGTGGCTGTATTTAAATATTTTTATCAGAGTTCTGGGTAGGCATTGTACTGTGTGACTGTATAGCTGCTCTTCCATTGACAGCTTTAAAAAAAAAGTGTTTCATGTGGTGAAATATGCAACACTTGAGTTCATTTTTGGACTTTTGTTCATAATAGATGTGGTTTGGTTTTAAAGTGATGCATCAATTTGTTGGATGAGGAACTAAGTTTAAAAAAAGACAGAGATTCAACCTCCTGATAACAGTAGTTGTTAGGGAAGTGTAGACAGGACATCACCATATCCTGTCCACACAGGCCTTGCTTAAATCTACAAGATGTTAATTTTTATTCCCTTTTACTTTTAAAATTACGTCCTTCTGGTTGGTTTGGACATTCACTGATTTTTGTTGCAACAATTGCTGAAAACAGGGTGAAAAGTTCTTTCCCCCGACTTCTGTCATTGTGTCATTTCCTTCTCTTCCTGTTTTATGGTGGAGGACGACAGACAACTTCGGGTGACTTAAAGTTGAATAAATGCATGACTAAAGTTCTTCCTATTTTTTTATTTTTTTCCTTTGCAGGCAGAGGGTGAGGTAGCAGCTCTTAACCGTAGGATCCAGCTGGTGGAGGAGGAGCTGGACCGTGCCCAGGAGAGACTGGCCACAGCGCTGCAGAAACTGGAGGAGGCAGAGAAGGCTGCAGATGAGAGCGAGAGGTCAGTTTCTTATTCGCATTAGACACAAGTAGAGAAAAAGTCTGCCTTGCGCGGGAGAACATGTGTTATCTAGTTCACCTGACTTTCACAAAAGAAAGTCTGTCCTCTCCTCACGCTGTGTCCTGTCATCCCAGAGGAATGAAGGTGATTGAGAACCGAGCGATGAAGGATGAGGAGAAGATGGAGATTCAGGAGATGCAGCTGAAGGAGGCCAAACACATCGCAGAGGAGGCCGACCGCAAATACGAGGAGGTGATTCTGACAGTGACGGCTTAAGTGCAAGAGAGAAATTCCCTTATTCAGATCGTTAATAGCCTCTTAGTTTTTTGAGTTTAAAATATTTCTCTTTTTCTTTCTCAGGTGGCTCGTAAACTGGTGATCTTGGAGGGCGAGCTGGAGAGAGCTGAGGAGAGGGCCGAGCTCTCAGAATGGTAAATGCAATAAGCGCACAAATGTATAAATCCATTGACTCTCATACAGATGCATGGTCTCTTGTGCGGCTCGCAGATTAAAACAAAGTATGTGTGGGATTCTCCTTACAGTAAAGCCAGTGACCTAGAGGAGGAGCTGAAAAATGTGACCAACAACCTGAAGTCCTTAGAAGCCCAGTCTGAGAAGGTACAAGACGAAATGCATTGACACTTTAAGAAGTAATAATTCTGCTTTGGCTTTCTGGAGATTGGTGATGTTTTTCCAAACAAGAATCTTCCAAATATAGAAAAAAAAAATCTGATTTTATCCAGTAAAGGAGGAAAAAAAGGTTTCCTGTCAAAATGCATCAATGTGATTTGTGAACATCTAATAATATGACAAAACAAACTAAAACTTTAGGCAGTTGCTTTCATTGTCTTTCACAAACACAAACAGAAAAACTAAATATATATACTGAACACCAAGTCTGGCACCATGCACACACGAATCCTATCATTAGGGCTTTACTCATGGCTCGGTGCACCGTAATTTGGGTGAGCTGTCCTCAGAGAGAGAGAGAGACCACATGGCAAAGGACTGTTTCATACTACCTCCATTATAACTGTGTATCATCAGGCCCTCCTTAAAACCATTTATTTTGCACTCAAGCTATTATATAAGGGAGCTCGGCACCTGAACTCCTTTGATATGCAGCTGTTTAAATATATGTTTGCACACCAACTTATCTACCGCATGACAAATTAGCCACTGATGCTTTTTTTTCCTTTTTCATGTGTGTATGAGTGGTGTTACTGGCTACGTAAGGTGTTTCAGGTGTGTGTATATAAGCAGCCAGTAGAAACCTGCCGCACTCAGAAATGTGTCTGCTTCATTCCCGCCCGTGCACAGGCATGCAGTGCAACGGCATGCCAGGTTTACCTCATGCCAGGTTTACCTCATGACAACTTTTCTTTAGCAAATATGGCATGGCTTGTCTTTGAAACCGACCTGCAGTGGTTAGCGTAACAGCAGAACTTGTTCCCAGGACAAGCCAACACCTTTCCTGTTACGTGCCAGCGAGGGAGTGGCGCCATGAGCTCTCAAAGCAATAATAATCCTGGGATGGTGCCGTTTTGTGCTCCCATTGTGTGCACGTTTGCTGCTGAAAGCTAAGTGTGAGCTAATGCTGTTTCTTTGCCTCTCTGTCTGTCACCAGTACTCAGAAAAAGAAGACAAGTACGAAGAGGAGATCAAAGTTCTGACTGACAAACTGAAGGAGGTGAGATGATGGTGTTTTCACAGAATTAAGAATAAAATTATAATAGTGAGAATAATCCAGTCATTCAGAGACATTTGTAGCATTTTCCCCCCCATCACTAAAATGTTAAATGTGACATTTCCATAAGCTTAGCAAGGCTGGCTGAAAAGCTCTCCTGTTGCAGTCTTTCATGATGGATGTGTTTGTTGGCGCTCATCAGTTTGTTTTGACATGCTTTGTCTGAATTCCTCCCAGGCTGAAACCCGTGCAGAGTTTGCCGAGAGGACAGTTGCCAAACTGGAAAAGAGCATCGATGACCTGGAAGGTACGAGAGTCACATTCATATTGAGGTTTTTGGGGGATTTGCAGCATCTGTGGCCCAAAATCTTTTTCTTTTTTAACAGAACATGTAAATGGTAAATGGCCTGTATTTATATAGCGCTTTACTAGTCCCTAAGGACCCCAAAGCGCTTTACATATCCAGTCATCCACCCATTCACACACACATTCACACACTGGTGATGGCAAGCTACATTGTAGCCACAGCCACCCAGAGCCCAAATCATTTTGTCTGCTAGCTTTAAGTGAACCTGCAAAGATGCGTTCAGTTTCATTAAATGGTGATTTATTTGCTGATGAACTACGAGCACATCTTCATACACAGTTGCAAAATCACTTACCTGAGTTTTGGCCTGAGTTCTAGAAGAGGTGTCCTATTTCAGCATCACTGGAATTTTTTTTCCTGTGGAAAAGAGGATTTTCCACAGGAACCAAATGTATGGAAACTATTTCACTAAGACAGGCTAATAAAAGACCCTTGTTACTGAAGGACAAGTATTCCATGTCAGCCACGAAGCTGCAGCGGCAGCAAAGAGGACAGAATGTACTCATATTTTTTTTTTAGGTCAGGATCGTTCAGTTGTTGAACCACAGGCAGCTGAGTTCATGGATTTATTGGATCAGTTTTATGAGACTTTCACAAAAGTCTTAAATGCTCAAAGCTCCCCCAGCAACAAAAAACAAACGTGAAGAGCTTTGAGCATTTATTAGGTATTCATCATTCTTTCTTCCAAGCATTTCTGCATCTTTAAAAAGGCTGACCTATTTTTTTGTCTCTTCCTTTCTCCCTCTGCTCTTTGCCTCCATCTGTCTCTCGCTCTCGTCCTGCTTTCGGCTTGCTTGTGTCGCTGCTGTCGTTGGCACCTGCCTCTGCTTCTTGTCGACCTCTGGCGTCCAGATGAATTGTATGCTCAGAAGCTGAAGTACAAGGCCATTAGCGAGGAGCTGGACCATGCCCTCAATGACATGACATCTCTGTAGAGACATGTTTCGCTCTTTCTCTCTGTCTGCTGTGCCTCTAAATGTTCATCTCCTCTGATCGTATGTGCCTCTGCTCATCTTACTATGCAAAACATAATTCATTAAAGCTCGTTTTCTTTCCTAGTTTGCAGCTTTTGTCTGTTTTTTGTTTGTTTGTTGCCAGTGTGTAAGGAAATTATGAACTGTTTGATGCAAAGTCTGAGCTAACTATATAGGTTACTATGATTTTCTTATTAACAGTGTATTTTATGATTAGTTGTTACTCTACGCGTTCATCTGAATATCAGTTTTACAAAGGTGAGCATTTCTGGTTTTAGTGTGGATTAATAGTTTGCAGTCACCTGGGTTTTAATCTACACGCTTTGGTAGTTTCTGATTTCTATGTCCATAAAGTATGCATAGATCTTAATGCCATTTCCACAAGGTGGGATATACGAATGACTTCACTGTGCAGCAAACGAGTCCTTTAAAAAGTCCATCCTGTATGATCCCACTAACAGTCTTCCAGCAGTTTATGCATGAAAGGTACTCTGTAGTGGTTGATTTTTATTTTTTGCATGTGGCACAACTTAACCAAACCAGTTATGCAAAACATCTGCCCAGTAACACTGACCTTTGTGCAGTCTTTAAAAAAAGGGGTGCTGTGTGACAAACCTCACGAAGAGATTACAGTGGCATGAAATGAGCGAGCACTGCTAACTGGTGATTGAGGGTTCACAGTGTCATATTTCTTCTTCTTCTTCTCCCCAGAGAAACTATCACATGCCAAAGAGGAGAATCTGGGCATGCACCAAGTCCTGGACCAGACCCTGCAGGAGCTGAACAGCTTATAAACACACACAGAGGAAGCTGGAGAGGATGAGGTCGTCATTAACATTCCATTAAACGTTCGACTCCATTCCGCCTTTCAAGCTGTAAAATCTTTATTCCCCACCTAAAGGGGGATTAACTTAATGCTTGTCCCCTTTTTTTTTTTTTTTCTTTTTCAAGCACAACTTTTTTTTTTCTTTTTTTTTATAAAGATTTTTTGAATCCACTGCTACTTTATTTTTTTTTAAACCTACAGATGTTCTTGTAGAAATTCGTTTTTGACCACTTACAAAGAACTGGCACTAAATTTGTCCAAAGAAACCTCCGATTTGGTCACTCAACCACTTAAACAGACTTAATTTTACACATTATGTGCACATACATTACACTTCTGATTATTTTTAATACATAGGCTACATATGGCATAGGGGGTTTGCTCAGTCTTGTGTGGCTTTTAAGCGCCACCTACTGGTGATTTGAAGTTAGTCAACATTTTTTTTTCTTATTATTATTCCATTTTATCTCCAGTGGCTGCAAATTAACAGATATTTGACAGATCTGTGCTCGTCTCAGTCTCTTTTTGTGTTAGAACAGCACAACAGTCACGTGAACAGATGACCTGATAACAAGGCTCAGTGATTAAGACTTCTTTACATTTAATTATAACGTAATGCCTCTTTGGCCAAGGTGTTGAACCTGATGCGGACGTCCTGACCACTGATACCTAATGCATCATTACCAACAATATGCCATTGTGTAGCCAATATTTACAATATGAGTGAGCTAAACCCCAAACCACTGGAAGCTCAGTCAAGTTTTATCAACCATGGATACTTATTGTATATAGTAGAATAATGTTAGGTAATGTGAGAAGTTGTATTTTTTTTTCCTTGGGTTTTGTTTCATTTACACCACTCCTTTTTGCCAGAGGAACTCTCAAAACCAAAGAACACACACAACACAGACAATTCATGAAATGTTTTTATTTTTTTTGTGATGTCATCGTGGTTTCATCTCATGTCAGAGCCACTGAGAGTGCCTCACATTTGGTTGAGACTGTTATGAAATACTTCATTCACCCACCCCCACCCCACCCATGTCAACCTATTAAAATGTTTTACAGAAATCATGACTTGTCTGAAGTTTTTTGCAAATTTGATTGTTGCATTTTACTCATGCAGAAGAAGTAATGACAATGTCTTTACAGGAAAGTGCTTCATTATGTCAATCTGCTTTGGAGTGTACATGCATTCAGATGATTCTGTCTCATTCAGCCCCACACGGGGGTCAAATCGTACTCATTTAGATAAATAGAGGCAATTTCTCTATTTGCTGAGGATTTGCAACATGGCATCGCTCAGCCTCGATTATCCTTGGGTATTTCTGCTGCATGGTTCCAGGTTCGTTACTGTTCATGTCTGTTTCTTTCTGAAGGCGCAGCCTAGAGGGAGAAATGTCAAACATTTCAGCAAGGTCTTGCAAGCAAATTAGGAGGATCTTATTCAAAGCTACTGTTTTTGGCATTGTACTTACCTGCTGTCAGTCTGCATTTCCCCCCTCGTGGCCTACAAAGGATTATAGAGCAGCCTGCACAGGGCACCACTGTCTGGGCATGGCTGAAGATGGTGGTGATCCTGTAACACCCTGATGAGCATTTGCAGATCAATTAGAGCTTGCCACACATAACTAAAAATAAATCCTAAAACTTTGCACCATGAGCCAAAATTCCTACCCATGCATTTAACATCCATGAAGTAAGAGTTTGGATTCTGCACCAGCCTCTTCTTCTTATGCTGCCTCCTCTCCTCGGCAAAACTTGGGTGCATCAGATCCTTAGCCAGCTGCAAGAAAAGGCAGAGCATTTTTTATTTTTTTTTTTTAAACATGAGCTATTCAATTGTTCTGCTACTGACAGGATGGGGTTAATGGAGGGATAAGAATATGAAAATGATTATTTACAAGATCATGGTAAAACTGCTGTGATGTATGGTTTGGAGACAGCACTAACAAAACGACAGGAGGCATAGCTGACAGGAATTTGTACAGCTCAGGTTAACTGGTTTGGAAATTAGAGAAGAGGCTGAATATTGGATATACTGGATAAAGGTGACAGTGGAAGATGATGGGGATAGGGTGAGATGAAGACAGATGATCCGCTGAGGTGAAAGAAGAAGACAGGATTGTCTTAAGAGATGTACCGCAATATGTTTTATAGCCGTATGCCCCCTACAGTCTGAAGAATGAATTGCTAGTTAGAGGAGCAACATGTCCAGACAAGCCCAAGCATCATTCGTACAGTACAAGAACAATGGGCAGATAGCAGTATATAACATGTTGCTACAAGTTCAATATTACAAGAGTTAAAAAAAATATTACTCACTTTATTGCCACTCTTTTTAAAATTCAGTACAATGTTGTATTTCTTAGTTCACAAAATACTATTAAAGCATCTTTCTGTCAGTCAGAACTGTTCTACTTTCTAATATTTCTAACAAAAACAGTCAAATCTAAAAATTATAAGAAGATTTTCACTTACAGACATTTTTGCTCAGATCGTCCGGTTTTCTCGTCAAATGTAAATAAATGATATAGCAAACTAAGCCCGCTATGCTCGTCACTAAATCCACCTGTAGTTTGGTGTAGGTCTGAGTTATAAGAATCGAGTAGGCGGAGGCTTCGTGTAAGGGAGGGGCCTAAGTAGGTCCGTGCTGAATGCACACTACGTGTTTAACAAACAGCACAGCTGTAAGAGAATGGAAAGTGTACTGGAAAAGGTCTGCTTTAATTTAGCCTTTTAGTTATTTATTTTTTAAAACAAAATCTAAACAGGTCTTAAAAACACCTGTTGTAAAAAAAAATAAATAAAAAAAGATAAGAAGCAACAATAAATTAAAAGCTACAGTAGAAAACTCTTAGAAACTCTCAGGGTTAAACAATTGTGTGCAGTTTCCAGTTTCCTTCGGACTACACATAACCAGCGGCTTAGTATTGTGTTCTTACGAGCAGTGGTTAGTTAAGCGATTAATTAACAACACTCTCCCGGGTGGACACAGGCATCAAAACGAGCAAACCCCCTCGGGAGAGCAGCCACGACGACAGTGGGGAGTGACGTTTGATTTGTCCAAAAGAAACTCGCAGGAAGTGACGCCTCCCTGTACGCGACGGGCGGGATATCCGCAGTAGTAAGCTAACTAATAACATGGCGAAGACTTACGATTACTTGTTTAAACTACTTTTAATCGGCGATTCCGGCGTTGGGAAGACCTGCGTGCTTTTCAGATTTTCAGAAGATGCCTTCAACTCAACGTTTATCTCCACGATAGGTGGGTAAAAGCCGAATTATCGGTGTGGTTTTGGACGAAAAGAGACATAGGAGTAGCCCATCCCGACAGGCTAATTCTGCTAACTTTTCTGGCTAGCTTTCATATTGTACTACAGGCTAGTCAGGAAGCTTTCAACCGGCTAGTTAGAGGGGCTTTCCAGAAACCTCACAGACGTTGTAACCGGCCTGAATATTTGGCAACCTCAAATATATGTGATTTCCATGAGAGTGCACCCCACCTGACATTTTTATCGTAATAAATACTTTAACAGGGGTAAACTGAGCTAGCATGCTTCAAAGCTAACAGTGATAGTTGGCACTGTCATTTCCCTTATGACAGACTGCCCTGTACTTCGCACTCATGCTGCCAACGTTACAAAAGTGTGAATTATCTCGTGCATTAAAAACAGATATTGTTACTGTCTGTGGGGTGGTCAGGCAAAGTTTGTGGTGCTTCTAAAAGACAATTGATGTGACTTTTATTTTCTTCAGGTATTGACTTCAAAATCAGAACAATAGAATTAGATGGAAAGAAGATCAAGCTACAGATATGGTAAGATAGACAAGTCCATAAATTGTCTTCATCTGACAGGGTTTGGTGATGGATGACAGTGATATTAAGCTGCCTTCAAACTGAAAGTCAGCAGCATAATTCAGCATGCCTGCACTCTTTACTGTTTAGAATAATTGTTCTAAAATGAGAAGCATTTCTGATGAAGAAGCATTTCAGTATGATGCAATGCAATTTAACAGCAACACAAACTAATTTAAATCAGAAATTTATTATTTAAATTATTTAAATCAGAAAGAATGTTTCATAACAATGTTATCGTTAAAAACAGGTATTTACTTGTATTTACTTATCTACATGATCACTGCCATACCTGTATTTTCTGTGTGTATTTATTAACTTACAGATGGAAAGTTCCCAATCAAACAGACTCTTTGTACTCCCCACATTTGGTCTGGCCACCATTGGTCTAACCCTTCTTGGGGTTAATGTTAAGTCTTACCCTAAATCTAATCCTGTATATTTTAGAGAAAGACAAAAAGTACTTGATATTCTTAGAATTATTTTCTTTGTCCCCCTATTCATAAGACTTGAGATAAATTCAAAAGCAAAATACCACACAGCCTTGGCTTGGGTACCTAGCGTCACAAACGATAATGACCTCACATTGTTGGTGTTAGCTGAACAAGTTATTGTATAACTGCTGGACAGTATCTACTACTGTAACTGACCAGAATAGGATTGTGTCAAGCGAGGAAAGTCACCAACACTTGTATGGAACACTCGGAAACTTGGTCCTGCTCCCTATTTTGTATGCTTTTAAAAAAATCTCTAAAAAAGCTGTTATACCCTTAATGTGTTCTGTGAGGACAGTTAACAGATGTATCTTCTGTGTAGGGATACAGCAGGACAGGAGAGGTTCAGGACTATCACAACAGCCTACTACAGAGGAGCCATGGTAAGTTGCATCGTTAGCCTTTCAGATGATACATTAGCTGAGATAATCTCTGGGAATGGAGTAGGTGAAATGATGTATGTACTGCAGCATAAACCTCTACTAGAACCACACCCCACATTGTTGTTAATGCCATGTACACCTGAAAAATCAGGTGTGCTCACTACAGCACCTTGGCAGTTTTTGCTAGTCCCTCCTACAAGCATACAGTTAGTATGCTTGTATTTGTAAACCTAATTGGACCTTCTTACCTTTGATCAAAGTCCTTTTACTTTGCTCCAGCACAACATGATTCATCACCGGTCGACGATGTTTCATCTCAGTTTCGTTTTATTGACATAGTGCTAATTAATAACAAGTGGTTATCTCACAGTGGTTACATGAGCTGCATATTTTCATTAGAGTTGATTCTCAGCTCTGTTTCTGTGGATCAGATAGATTCAAGAAGTACGCGATGACAGCACTGATCTTAGGTTACTGTGTTTTCTTATGTCTTCTGCTCTATGACCTCTGCAGGGCATCATGTTAGTGTTTGACATTACCAATGAGAAGTCCTTTGAAAACATCAAGAACTGGATACGGAATATAGAAGAGGTAAAAACCTTGCATTACTCGTACTTTTCTAGTTCTTTCTGTTCAGATTTCTTCCTCTTTGGTTAATTATTGATTTTGATCTTCTACAAAGTGCTATAGAGTAACGTTGTAGTTTTGATTCAGTTTCTGTTACGATTAAAATTATTATACCCAGATAATTAAGATAAAGCAGTTATTGTGCTAGGCCCTGTTTTGCAGGAACCCTCTTGTTTTGCCTTCTGCACATCCTTTTCCTTGTAATTTTGTCAACAAATAAAAGTCCAAATCCTCCTGCAGGGCTAGGTTTATTTAAGCAGCTTAATCTATTTGGGTTTTACAGAATAGTTGTAATTATAATTTTTGTGTTAGGGCTCAACGATTGGTATCAAATCTGAATTTCTTGTGCTTAGAATATCAATTTGGACAATAGCTGATGTTTATGCCCATGTTTTGCATTGTTATTTGTTATTCATTCTCCCTGTTGTACCAGAGAAGCAAAATTATAATTATAACGTAATAGCAGAACTATTTTAATGTTACTACATTAAATGTAAACATACAGATTCATGCAAAAGTTTTAATCATTCACGATAAAGATTTTTTTTGGTGAAAAAATAAATAACTAAAAAAAATCCAGAGGCCTTCTTCGTCAGCCTTATAAATAACCAACACAGTATTTAATGAGTGTAAAATACACAGCAGATAAACATCAACATCAGTTACCTTTATTAACAATGTTCTTATTTACTGGTGAGCTGGTGGCATTGAACAAGGTGAAAACATACCAGTATATTCTTAGTATATATGAGGTAGCTTTCCTACCTGTTCACCATGAGTTTCTTTTTCACAGCATGCATCAGCAGACGTGGAAAGGATGGTCCTTGGGAATAAGTGTGACGTTAATGACAAGCGTCAAGTGTCCAAAGAAAGAGGAGAGAAGGTGGGAATTGATTTGTCGGTGATAATGTTACTCTGAGGTCCCTGCAAAATAAAAGTAGTGTCTGAATAGTCCCACTAATGACTCTTTTCTTCTGCTGTTAGCTGGCGCTGGAGTACGGTATCAAATTTATGGAGACCAGTGCGAAGGCGAACATCAACGTGGAGAATGTGAGTTCAGTTTTCAGTAATTATTTGCTAGTTGTTGAAAGTGGTGTTGTGGAAGATGGCCAGCTTAATTTATGTTTTTACTCTGTAAAACTAGGGGACAGCACATGTGCGACAGCTCAGATGTTAAATCATTTTTAACTCTTGAAATCCACACCGGACAACGACACAATTGTACTTCCTATTAGCAGGAAGCAGGTTCAAGCAGCTCTATCAGAATATTACAAGCATACCTAAAACCAAATATTTATACGTTATAAGAAAAAGAATTATTATTATTATTATTATTATTATTAATATTTATTTATCCCAAAGGTTGGGAAATGACTTTGATACTCTTAGCTAAGTTTTTCTTTGAAGCATAAACGACGTGACTAAATATATAGGTAGAATATAACAGTTCAAAATAACTTTGAAAGGTAAAGTACTACAGATCCAATAAATCAAAACTTTTAATATGATCAAATAATGATCTTAAATCTTTCTTTTTATTCTTTGTTTAAAAGGGACAGTGCAGTTTAACATAGTCCAAATATAAAGCATGAAACTGATGTACTGCACATAAGTTTATAGCTATTGCTAATTTCTAACTATTGTCCCTTGTTGGGCTTACATTCATAATACACAAAGTTACAACATTCAATTACATGAAAACCAAAATACACCATGAATATAACTACAATTAATAATGTAAAAAAGAAGGAGATAATTTTATCTGAAATGAATGTGGCTATTATGGCATGACATGGTTAAGAGTTTCTGTGTCTTTAAACACATTAGAGAAAGTTTCCAGCTGCAGTGTGGTCAGAATCCATTAATCATGCGCAGCCACAGAATCCAAACCTTTTGCTCCTTCAAAGTGGATACAAAGAGATATAGCAAAGATGAATTCCTTCATCGAGTAATATGGTCGCATTCCAGCAGCTAGTAATTCAGTATTCAGGCCGCAGGAATGTTTCTGAGCTTTGACACGACTGGGATTTCCCCAATTTTCAATCGTAATAAGTGTAATCCCTCCACATATCTTCTTACTGCTCAGATTAATATCCCTGTCTCCCCCAAAGTCCTAAAGCCAGAGGCAAGGAAGTCTGAGTGCAGCACACCAAACTGCCCTCACTGGGTTTCCTCTGGTCTTGGGGCGTTTTCACATGCACATGCACTTTGTTGTAAACTCGTAGCTTTTCCTTGTTTTTTTTGTATTCGGTTTCTTTTCACATGGAGAAAACTCCAACCAAACCAAATGTGGAACTATAAAAGACACAAGAATTATCAGTTTGCGCCACAGACACATCTGGACAATAAACAATCTTGAAAACAAATACAGTATGAAGGTAAATGGCCTGTATTTGTATAGCGCTTTACTAGTCCCTAAGGACCCCAAAGCGCTTTACACATCCAGTCATCCACCCATTCACACACACATTCACACACTGGTGATGGCAGCTACATTGTAGCCACAGCCGCCCTGGGACGCACTGACAGTGGATTACAGGGAGAGTTTAGTTAGCCCTCACTTCATTTCGTGGTTAATGACTACAGTTTTTGCCCTCGGCACATGTGTAGTACTCTCAAACTTGCAGCCTACACGTTGTAGTTGGGTCAAACGACCTCCTCCAAAGAGTCTCGGTGTGGTTGTTCTGAGCTGTGCCTGAATCTAATCACCGTATTCAAAACCGCACAAACAAACCACCCTAAGAGGAAAATGAATTATTAATAGAGCACTTTTTAATAGCACGTTTGCCATAGAAGGCACCAAAACAACACATCCAATGAAACATTGATTATTTTTGATGTTTTCATTATTCTAATAATAAATAGAGGGTAATAAGAAGCCACTCTGAGTTAAAAGCCAAACAAAATAAAAAAACGAGTTATTGTCCAAACACTTTAGATTCCCTGTGATAATTGCTGGAACACTTGTTTGGGATTACATCGTCTTGTTGTTTATTATTTATTTCTTAGTGATAATTGTACTGAATTATTGCTTCGGTGCGGTGTAATGATCTTATATGTTCTGGGTTTTTTTTGGTCTGCAGGCCTTCTTAACGCTTGCCAGAGACATTAAGGCAAAAATGGACAAGAAGCTGGTAAGAAAGTAGAGAAGTGAAAACTCTATTAATAGCTTACCCACAGTAGTTTCAGTAGGTATGGTGTTAATGGTGTTTTCTGGTGTCTTGGATGTTTTTCTAATTAATGGGCTTTAACATTTGTGCATTTTAGGAGGGAAACAACCCACAGGGCAGCAATCAAGGAGTAAAGATTACAGAACAACCCAAGAAGAGCAGTTTCTTCCGCTGCACGCTGCTGTGAGAAGACGAGTGCGTCGGCAACCACCATCGCCTTAACCGTGTCCCCCCACTGGACATAACTGGACAGAGCACACGCTGATCTGTTTTATCCTTCTTCATTTGTCTTCCTCCTCCTTCTGATTTGTCCCGTCATTATGTAATTAGGAAAAGTCTACCCCCCCGCCTTGGTTTACCAGTCTTCCTTTAATACCTGTGGATCTAACTGCTGTGGGCTCTGTTACATATTTAATCTCATTTCTTTTTTTCTCCCCCACCCCCCATTAATTAATATTTTCAGTGTAGGCACAAGAGTGAAAGATTCTTAACGGTCACGTCCTTAAATACTAAGAAAGATCCAACCTTTCGGCAGTGACGGATAATAATTAAGGGATTCGTTCATCAAATTTGAGAGAGTTTTAATATCTACGTAACTAGAGAGGCTAATTTTTTAAGCAGCCATTTCCTGAGTTTATCATGTTCAAAAGCTGATTGTGCACAGCTAAATACCATATGGATTGGATACAAAAAAAAGAAAAAGTATTCTTCTTCTTAGAGATTAAGGACGTTGCATGTACAACATTGCCAAAACTCTGTGCACAGAAGAGCACTAACCAGAGGAGAAAGAGAAGTGGGAGACCCCAGTGCCCAGCTGAACAACAATAGGACAAGTCTGAGAAACACACAGAAACGCCTCACAGTTCCTCATCTGGCAGCTTTTTAAAAGAATGTATTTGTCTAGACTAGTTTTGAAGTGAGTAGGAAGTGCTGTTGCATTTCTTTGATCAAGAATATAACTTTTTCAGGTGCGTTTTGAGCCTTTAATCCAACACACAAAGGCTGATTCTCCAGACGCTGAACTAGCCGCATCGTTTGCTTCTTTAGTCAGCACAGCATTCTTCAGCTTCTTACATGATAAACTTGCGTTAGGTGACACGATGCAACATTCGAAGCCAGAGGCGATGGTTGCTGAAAACAGGGTATGTATGCTTGATCCTCCATTAAAGCTCAGTGATGGTTCCTGATGAATAATTCCATTTATCATTAATTTAATGCGCTATTACATAAAAACAAATATCCTTTTCCTTAAGGACGATCCCCAGTCACCACAAACCTTTAGGCAGCGCTGTATTTGATCCTTGTGACCAACAAAAGACCAGATTATACTTAAAGAATACGTGTATTACACTCATGTGTTTTTATAATATTTCGATTGTCACCCGTGCTTCCAAAGTGATGCGTACAATCCCCCCCCCCCCCCCCACACACACACACACACACACAAGATATTATACTAGATATTTGTCCTGACAGGGTGGTCTAGCTCTTTCCTTAATGTCCACATCTATGTAAATGCATCGTGTAAATATATTAAAAAAAAAAAAAAAAAAAAAAATATATATATATATATATATATATATATATATATATATATATATATAAATAAAAATTGATTATGATTCACCGTATTACAGAGTAATGCCAGCACATGTCACTCATCATATCCACAGTGGGGTTTACGTGTCCTTTCTTCTCGCGTCTTCTGCTAAAACATTCCAGTCCTCTTTAATGTGCAATGTAATGTATGAAAGAGCCCTGATTTTTCTCTTGTGTTCACATGTCTGCAGTAGGGTTGGGTTTTTAGAAAGGGGGGTAATTTAAGGGCACACACATGCTCCTTTTTCATGTTGCTTTCCACACTGTTTTAGCAATACCTACACTGACCACCTGGAGGCAACTTCAGCTACACAGCAGAAAGAGTCACAGCAATGGTGAAAGTGTGGTTTTATGCATTTGTACTTGTTCCGGTTGTCTGTTCCAATGGGGGAACATAAACACAACTGTTTCCTGGGCCTTGGATATGTGCTGTGCTGTAGCAGTATTTATGGAGTGAAAGAAATCATAGCACCAAAATGACAAAGTGCCCTTTTATGTTCTTCTTGATTATGCACTTTTCTTCCTTTTTCTTTCTGTTTTGGGAAAAAAAAGATTTCTTAACATTTATTGTCTGTGTTTATTGCAAGTCTTAACTGAAAGCAAAGAATTTGCATGCACAAGATTTCCACAGAGCCTCTCTGGGCTTCTTTAAAACATCTGAGCACTGAAACCAGAAATCTAGAGATTTTCTTTTTGTTTTCACAACATTCCCACTTAGTGATTGAACTTTTTTTTTTTTCGTTTTTGTTTTTTTGTTTATGCATTTGCGTAGATTCTGATGCTTTTGGAAACCACCTTCTTCCACCTCTCCTCCTGTGTTGTTTTGGTCCAGTATTATGACCATCTAATCTATGCATTCTTGGTGCGTAGGAAACCTCAAAAGGCTTTGCACAGTTGACTTAATGAGCTTTATTTGAGATTAGAATTGTGCAGAGGATCCTTGATCTTGTTTTATTATTTTCTGCTGTCACTCCATGCAATTACATCGAGAGCTCATCAGAGGACAAAAAATAGGAAATTGAGCAAATCACGTCAAAGGCCAGATAAGCTGGTCCTTTGAAGTGGTGCTGAAGAGTCATCCAATCAAACCTGTAACAAAACGGTTTTCCTGTGGATTTAAGGAAATGTCAGCTTTGCTGGTTTAAATTTGTTTCGGCTGTTTCTTAAAATCACTCTCAGTTAAAATCAGTTCACAGCTTGATGAAAATCCAGCATTGTGAGCTACAGTCTGCCGTTGCTTTATTCTGTAATTCTCTCCCTTTTGCAAATGTGACAGTTCTGTGTTCACATATCTTAAGCATTCCTGAACTACAATTGGCTTTCTTTGCTGATTACTGATGGGCTTCATGTGGAATAAAGTAAATAATTCAGCAATTGTAAATAAGATCTACAATGATTGTACTGTAGTTTCGTAAATCTTATTGATCTACACTTTTTGTAGATATGTGTACTTTTGATGATTTATTAAAAATGAGATTCTTAAATGTGTCCAGTATGTTTTTCTGTGCAAAAACACAAAACATTTGCAGGACAAGTACTCTTGATGTTTTTCTTTAATTGTGTAGGTACACCTGTTCAGCTGGTTGTTGATGCATCTAACCAATCACATGGCAGCACCTCAGTGCATTTAGGCATGTAGTCAAGGTCAAGATGACCTGTTCAAACTGACAGATGCTGTCCCCACTGCTGTTCTGCATAGGCCTGAACCGCCCAGGCTAGATCATTAACATGACTTGCTACGGATACCGACTACAGGATGGCACAATTGTTATCCTCTACATCAAGCTGTATGCCAGGAGTAAATGAGACATATTGCAATGTCATTCAGGCTGGAAAAGTGTAACAAAGAGAGGGAAGATGGTTAGAACTGAGAGGATTGCACAACCAGAAGACGACACCGAGGACAGCTACAAGTACCTGGGAATCCCACAGGCAAGTGGGAATCACGAAGAGGCCGCTAGGAAAGCCGCAACCACCAAACACCTGCAGAAAGTAAGCAAGTCCTGAGCAGTCAGATGCCTGACTCGGATAATCAGCTGGCTAAAGGATGAGATGGAATTCCAGCACCCTGAGACTGTCTGCTAAGAAGGACGGCCGAGGACTAGTGAGTATCAGAACCACCATCCAGGATGAAACAGCAAACATCCATGAGTACACTGAAGTAAATACCTCAGCATTGACCCCAAACTAGGTAAGTGGCTCGAACAGATCCAGAGCACAGTCCCATAAACAGAATTAATATATATACACTGTATATGTCATTATATATCATCAATTGGTTAACTGGTTGCACCATGACACCAGTACAAATTGAAAATTTTGGTTCCTATAATCCAGTTTCTCTGAAATCTATTTATTGATGTTTTCCCATCCGTGATGTAGAGTTTTGCGTTGCAAATGAATCTGCCACTCTACCACATGGTAATATGCAAATGTGTAGCCTACGGCATCGAAGTGGCGCAAAAACTGCGGAGCAGTCTATCGCCTCATATTATCACGGGGATCTTGAGAGACTTGATTATTTCTGTACAAATGAGGAGATTTGTGGAGTCAGCATGCCATCTATTCCACACCCTCTGTAAGCAAGCGTATTGTACTCGTGCACTTCCTCCTCAGCCTTACAAACAGGGAAAGAATATGCCCGCAGTCTGAGCTGCAGCTTTCACTTTAGTCAGCTGATGGAACCATGATTAGACTGAGGCTACTTCTCCCTGCCACGTTCTCCTCTCTGATGTGGCACTGGTTTATTTTCTTCTCTATCAGTAGTTGGCAGTTTAAGGAAGCTTTAAGGTGTACAATAGGGGCCTGTTTGCTTGAGGAGAAGACATATGAGCATTAGTGGTTCCCTGATAACTTTCTTCACCAAGGTTTGAAAAAAAAAACCCCAAAAACGTATTTTTCATAAAATTGTGGAGGAGGTGGAGTGCGTAGGTGGGGGCACTTTGTGTATAAATGGAGAAGAGCCCTGCAGAAAGATTTGCACTGGAGCGCAACACTTCTGCTTCACACCAGAAAGACTTTGACCTTTGCTCTGACTTTTTTCTTTTTAACAATTGTCAGGTGGGCGGTGGATTTTCTCTGAAGCGGATGTCGATATTACAGGAATTTTTTTTTATTGAATCATAAATCAGTCAATAAGTCACCTATTATGCCTGAAAGCAGGATCTATTTTTCTTTAAAAGATGCTCACCTGTATATCATGCACTGCATATAAAAAAAATATGTTTTTACTAATGATAAGTTACATAAAATGCTGTGGGATGCGAACGTACTGCATGTCGTCAGTGACGTCTAGGAAGTTTCCCAGATGTAAATTGTTTTTCGGCACTCTGTAAAAATCTGGCCCTGGAGTAACGTGGGAGAGCTGGAAAGTACTGATAAAGTCTTTTGAGGTTTTTTGTTGTTGTTGCTTAAAATCACTCAGACTGTAGCCTCTCCTTTCACTTGTGTTTTATCTCCAATCTGTTAAGTCAGAACAATCACTTGAAGGTCATTTTCTCCACAGCTTTGCGCATGTGTGCTTGTGTGCATACAGCCACAGATACAATCAAGACATGCAACTTCAGCCTTAACGTATGTGGAGTATCTGAATAATTTAATTTCTTATTTAGTGATGCTATTCAGTGTTTTCTATGTGTCTCTTAAAAAAACTATTCTACTGTACTTAAAAATTTACTGTATTCTACTTGGATCGAGTAGGATTTTGGCCCCGCCCCCGCCCCCAGACAGGTTTTTTCAGGTGCGCGAGCTCAGCCGTGTCATTCTATCTCGGAGCTGCCAGACAGGGTGAGTAACTTTTCCTATGAGTTTGTATTTGACGCCAGAAGCAACATTATTGAGTTTTATTCACAAAATCAGTATTCTGTAATGAATTATGTGTTCATATTGCAAATTTAAGATGAATTCACAAATATAATTGATAAAGTCTTACAACAGGTACTGCTGTAAACAAAGGTATTAGTGAGTAGACTCCATCCTTTAGCTCTTTGTCATTTTAAAGGAAAACTGCATTATGTTTGAGATTGTTAAAATGCACGGGAACTAATAATAATTCACCTGAGGAACTGTTGATAGACATCACAGAGCACTTCACCTGCAACAGGAACAATGAATATTTAAAATGCATATTAACACCCAGCTTTCACACCTGTATGTGTGATGAAACTACTGTAGGTGCGTAGTTAATGTACAGACTAAATATACTAACTTCTTCATTTGCAGGTCTTTGTGCTCAGTGACTTTTCCATTAGCCATAACTGTCGATTAAATGAACCATTACGCAGGAGGATGGAGGGAAGTCAGACGTTTCAGGGACAACGTGATCCTTACACCTGGTTCACAGAGTCTCAGCTCCAGTCTGTCATCAGGAACGGTGTAGTCCCGGAGTGGTTTCATGGGATCATTTCCAGAAAGTAAGTTTATGAGATATATAACTGTGCTCGCATTATCATTATAAAAGAGGGAAGAACATTAGGTTATTCCAGCTTTCCAGGACCCTTCAACCCCAGAAACAACCCTGATAACTCATAAACTACAAGGTCATTCTAAATGTGGGTCTTGCATAAATTGCTAGTACAATAAAAATGTAAAACCATTAGTGGCAACATCATCAATGTTAAAGGCTTCATCGCTTATAAAACTAAAAATGTGGTCTATATGACATAGTGCCTATGTAATGCAACATCTATAGGAGAAACATCCCTGAAAGAGAAAATTAATGAACATTTAAGTTGTACAAAGAGGAATCATTTAACCAGTCCTGTTGCAAGACATTTTATGAAAAACATTGCAGCTTGCCTTTATTTTTTTATAGGCATTGAAACCATTAAAGAGTCGGTAATATGAACTTTATCAGGGAAAAGACAGAAGCATTCTGGATATTTTGTTTAAAGAGTTTATTTCCTGCAGGTATGAATAAGAATCTATTTTGTTTTTATGTTTTTAATTAGATTTTCTAATACTGATGTTTTTTTTTTAATATATGAGTGAATGTGTGATTGGTTCATTTGACTTTTTTTCTGCAGTATACTGTTTTATTTAAACACACACTGTTTGGTATTTTGTAATGACCCTGATGAAGGCCGCACGTCTTCACCTCATATCATATCATACCTATATCATTACCTTCCATCTACTCCAGTGGAAGGCAAACAGTCCAAAATATGAGGAGCTAAGACTGAAAGATATCAGTTTTCATGACCTGATGTGATTGTCTAACTGACTGAACATTTTGTAAATGCTACATTTCTTTATTAATGTTTATTAAACTGTTAAATCATTCACATGCCACGGTATTCCGATATTTCTGGGAAAGCACAGGGTTAGACTCTTTTTCTCTCAACCGCCCATCTAATAGCCTTTGAACATCTAGGCACAAATATGTGTCAGCAGAGATTTGCATTTACTTTTCCTATAGGTTTTTTTTTACTCTATTTTTAGGCGGTGAGACTGAAACTAATCTTTCACTCTGCCGGTTTACTTTGGTCACTACACAGTAATTCCATAGAGTAATGGTTGATGCACTCAGCTAGCATGTGAAAGATGGTTCCATCCTGGAAGGAGACTCAAATCCCTTTAGGGATACAGCGTTAAACAAAGATACCTGACGTCCTGACGTCTTGTGAATAAGGGAACAGCTGAAAGTAGCTTACTTCACTTAATATGAGACCAAACCTGTGCTGTACAATTGCACTATGAGAGATGATTATATGGGATGTATTGCACAATTACCATGTTTTAAAGCTGTAGATCAGTTATTAAATATAGCTGGAAAAAGGACTGGTATACTTTTGATAGTTTAGTATCTTTAATTATGGTGACAGAGCAGTTAGCACTGTTGCACAGGAAGACAGTCACAGGTTTGACTCCACCAGCTGGTCTGCATGTTCTTCCTTTGACTGTGCTGGTTCTGTCCGGGTACTCTGGCTTCCTTCAGCAGTTCAAAGACATGCATGTTAGACTAGCTGGTGATTCTAAATTGGCTGTAGGTGTGAACTCTTTCACTATGTCATATGATATACAAAAACTATTTGTAGAATATGCCCAAAGGCCAGGCTGATTCCCACTATGATGTGATTCACATTTTAGTGACAGCTACGGTTTATAAATAACCCCAAACCATAAAATGTAAAGATTGAAGTGCATGCATGAAAGAGGCCTTTGTTTGTGGTCCTTTGTGTAGGACAGCAGAGGAACTGCTAATGGCTAAGCCGCCGGGTTACTTCCTCATCAGAGTCAGTGAGAGCAGGATCGGCTACACTCTCTCGTTTCGGTGAGTGTTTTCAGCATGACGGAAACCTTATTTTTAAAGTAATGTGCTCACACACTTAGTGACCCTGACACTCCACTCTGTTCACTCTAATGTACTGACCAATCAGTGCCGAGGACCGCTGCAGACACTTTATGATTGATGCACTGGAACATGGCTCTTACATCATAGTGGGGGAAAACAGGTATCACCGGTTTCTGCATGACCTGGTGGACTTTCATCGTAGAACTCCCATCATGCCTTTCACTCAAGTGCTGACTGTTCCTTGTGGACAGGTGAGAAAATGTGCTTGTCTCAACTGCATTCATGCTTTTTTATGTTATTGTAAATTACAGGTTTACTTTTTAGTACATTATATAAGCTCAGCATAAGCTAATCAAGCTAAGCTAAGTAAGATTAATTGTGTAAACTACAATAAAACATCTGTGCTGTAACTTTTCTACATCTTTTCAGGCTTCTAATGACAAGACTGACTATGCAGAACTACTGTTTTGCTCAAGAGGTCCAGACTCTAGGGCCAGTTTGCCACCAAACAACTTCCAGGTTCCCAGCATAAATCCACCAGGGTCAAGAGAGGATATCCCACCTGCCCTTCCTCACCGCCCAAATTATTTGGGAAACTCACCAATTTTGCCTCCAAAAAGCCAAACAAATAGACTCTACCCTTCTTTGGAAGATGAGTTTCAGCACAATACCTCTCCACCCCCAGCACTGGTAAAAATGACCTTGAAAACTATTGTTCAAGCTAAAGATCTCCGTACATTGTCTGATAAAGTTATGGTTAAAAGATTTTCATCTAAAAAGCTTTTCTTTGCAGTTAGCATCCTTTTATACGAATCTAAAGAATAAGTATGGCTCTAAATCTTCATGTAAAAGGATATTTGCTTATGATGATCAGGTTTGATTTAAACTGAAATAGTAGCATGAATATTTTCTAAAAACTGAAGACAGGTCCTGAAAACATGTTATCAATGAGCTACTTGCTGTGAGTGACTGAGAAGTCTAGATTTTTGACAAATTAGAAGTAAATGTAACCCTGAGTGTTGATGGATTTGTGGTGATGCACATTTGAGATGAGGTTTTCATTAACTTTCAAAATAAGAAGTAAAGAGATCTAAAAATAAAAATAAAAAATTAAGTTTGTCTTTATGTTCATCTGCAGCCTGTCCCAACACCCAGGAAGAAATATACAGGTGATAATCCTCCATCCAACCAGCCTCCCGAAGTCCCTTCTCGAGACTGCATGGCTCTGAAGCAGAATCAGGCTGTCAGAACAGTCTCTGCTCCTGAGAATCTGCCCACGTTTGCAGGCTCCGAACAACCGCCCACTACCAACAACCAGCAAGTGAGGAATCAAGAAGTAAAGCCGTCAGTCGTCACCAACCTAAAGAACTTCAAGAAGAAATTCCAAAAGAAGAGGGGCCCGTTGCAGGATAATTCATACGAAGAGATTAACACTGACAGGGGTGAAAATGATGAGCACGAGTACCAGGAGATCACGAGGGATCTGACCTTTTGTGAACCACCACTTTCCTCCAGCTGCACTCCTGTGAAGCTGACTGATGACATGTTACCCTTAGAATATATGCCACCTCCACCTTTTGCTCCAGGCTACGGACCCACATGAGAAAATAGAGTGCATAAAATATAGTGAATATGGACAGGTCACAGTGATCACCTGAAACTATAATAAACAAGTGTGTCAAGTCAAGGAAGAGGTTAATGTGTACATGTATCCTCATCTGGGCAAAGGAGAGGAAGTGGAAAATACTGCATTCGTCCAACCTTTATGATCCTTTATCTTTATGACCTTTGTTCACCTAAAGAGAGGCTTAATGTCAAAGCATTGCACCAGTCTTTCATTCTTAGGATGTGTCTACAACTGGCTAATGCAGACACTGAAACACAGTGAAACAGCTAGACTAGACACAAAATGTGCCTATCGGTTTCTTTAAAGTTTACTAATTAAATCATTCCGTGTGTTTTCTTTTTTTCCCTGTTGTATAAGATAACAGAGGCGGGATAGATGCCTCATCCTGTTTTCTGTCTTTATGCTAAGTTAAGCTAAGCTAAGCCAACAGCTGCCACAGCCTCATAATATTCCTATTCCCTTAACATTTAGGTCGCAAGGAATATTTATTATGCATAAAATTATAGGATAGATTAAACTGCCTCCTTCATGCAAATGTATTTAGTGCCAAATTATATATTATATATTTTTTTAAAATGTTCCATACATCAAAACTCTATTCAGACAAAAGGTGTCACATTAAAATGAATAATGCAATAAATTTGTTACATAGATGTCTACCTGAAGCCAATCTCCTGCCATCTTTGCATACATGCTTTCAAATTGAGGTTAAAGTTTTTCATACACTTATTTGGTAGGATATTAAAGTCTAAACATGCTCAGGGGAATTTTTGCATAGCATATGCAAATAAGAAATAACAGCTGCTTTGAGTAAAGGTGGCATGCTGCTGCATCACATGCAGATCTCTGATCAGAAGTGTGATAGAGATGATGAAAGAGAGAGAGAACACCCAAACTGGTACATTTTTTACAGGTGGAAACATACAGCAGTGCGCTCTTAAAAACATTATTTTGATTTTATGGCAAATAAAATTATAGCTAGATAGCTAAAAGAATACAGAGCTAGAAAAAAGCACTTCTAATGTTCATTCTTTATTTCTTGATGCATGCTCAATCAGTGGGTTTTGGTCAGTGGTTGTTGATCAATGGTCATGAGAATTTGCATAATTAAGATTAAGAAACTGACCTCCCAGCTCATTGTTCCTTCAGTGGGCTGGTTTCAGTCATTATGCAAATGTACTGTTTATAAGATTGGGGAAACCTGCAGTCAGCTGAGACTGAAGAAGTTACTTGGATGAGTGACGAAACGTTTCTCCCACAAAACGCTACGTCCAGATGAACAGAATCAACTTTGGGAGATTCATGCTTTATTCATCCCTCCACACTGTACTGACAGAAAAGTCTTGTATCATTACGGACTACCATCTAGTGGCAGCAAAAGACACAGGATGCTTGCACAATGAGTAGTACAACGGCGTCAAGGTGTCTGGCTTTAAATGGTTACTATTTTCGTGTTTTACTTTATTACTTTAAATCAGAAGGAAACAGTTACTAATAGCTGAGACTATTTTAAACACGTATATACTCACCAGCTACTGTATGAGTGCTGTAGCTATTATATGATTATTATGAGCTTGTGTAAGAGAAAAAAAATCAGCTTAACAAAAGCAATAAATCTCAAATATCAACATCTATATAACACTCATAAATATTTATAAAAATCGTTGGGGGGTTTTGCCTCGATAAGGAGGGTTTTTCTAAATATTTTTTGTTATATTGTTTTCTAGAGGAAATTGTCATCTATGTGATTGAGGGCAAAAATAAAGTGAAAAGTAAAGTAAAGTAAAGTCGTACAAAATCCATGATCAAAGTATAATTAATTTTCGAATATCCTGTCGACTAAGTGCGATCAAGAAAACAGAATCGACCGAGATGTCGCTGTTAGCCAACTCGATATAAGGAAAACAGCTGTCGGTGTTCGCCTGAGCAAAGGAGGAGCAAAAACCCCTTAATGAGTTCGATTTGTTTTCATTTCTGTTTAGAGTCACAACGGGACGACTGCCAGCATTTAAACACCGCCCTCCCTGGCTACAAAGGTGAGACAAAACACGCGAACCCGAACGCCTGGGGGCGACGTGACATCATCCCTAAAGCCTTTGGATTCCAGCTCGGGATCTTCCTGCGCTGTTTCATGTAAGGATCTAGGAAGTAGTCCCGCTATCTGAATCGACGTGTCTTTAGTTTTTAAAACAGCAGAAGCGGAAAGTTTCTTCTCTATATAAGCCAAAAATCTCAGCGAGAGTATGTCTTTCGTCCCAGGTCAGCCGGTGACTGCTGTTGTGGTAAGTTTGAGGGCTGTGGCTCTCCACATTTAACCGCACTCTATTGTTCAGCTTCTCACCCGACTTTAGCACCAAACCGTTTCGGTGCAAACTCTGAATTAACTAATGTTGGGTAACTACACGCGCTAACCAGCTAACTGGAGTTTTTGCTAACAGCAGAGCGACTTTCTTTGTTTAGCTAAAAGCAGTTGAGTGAGAGCAGCTGAACAGATATGAGCACTTTATGTACCCAGTAATGTTAAATTTAACCGAATAACTCATTAAATCACTGCAGCAAAGAAGTGGGCACTAACGCGGGACACAAAGGGTGACATGAAGTTGACCGTTAATTAAAAGACAACTGAGTTTATCGTCAGAAAACTGCTGTTAATGAAAATGGGCGTCGCCACCTTTGTAAATCAGGCTTCCTGGTCTTCTCCAAAGCTGAAGATCTAGCTGGAGATGGACAGCTGGGATTTTAGCAGGCCTGTGTTGTAGAGCAGAGTGTGTGACAAGCACTAAATTATCAATACTAGGAAATCTGAGCAATTGCTGTGATTTGAGCTAACTGATAAGTCAAGTTTTTCAGAGTCAAATCTTTGTTTAACTTTATATATTTTCATAAATCACTGTTGTTCGATCTTATTTTGCTTTTATTTGACCTTTGCAGCTCAACATTTGTCCCCCCAGAGTCCCTTTTGTATAAATAGACTGAAATATTGACGTAAAAGAGGCATTGCGTTTAATTTGTCCTGATCAAATAAAACAGCAGTCAGTGATTTGTGGGGATTGGATGAGGGTGGATCCATGCCCACCCAATACATCCACCTTGTTGCCTGTGTCCCCTAGCATCAGAGAGTGTGCACGGGCAGGGAGGTTGTTTATCCCAATCATAGTCTAGTCAGTTGTGTGTAAGAATCAGTTTCTGTAATGTCTTCTAAAATACATTTTTAATTCTTTAATATAATATTTTTTTAATGATCACTCAGTTGTGCCCCTGCTGGTTGACACACACTTCAGATCAAGCCACCTCCTATAATGAAATACTATAAGATAGAAGTCCTGACTTACGCAATAATTGCGCTACTCTACTATCATTGTTTTTTGTTCAATGCCCTCAAAGGACGTGTGGGTGTGTTTAAATTCCCGTTAACTTTTCAGACATTTTTTGAGTCATGAATTCTCTCATACAGGAGGTAGTTGCATAACATTGTACCACACACACACACACACCCTCTCCAGGGGCCAAAACCTAAAGACATAAATCCAAAAGTTTGTTTTATTTTCAGAATAATGTTTTTGTTTTTGATATATCATAGGACCAATAGTAAAACTGCATGACCAATTTAACATAACGGCAGCATAACAGACACTCCATGTTTGAGCTTTTCCCCCTGATAATTCAGCTAAGAAAATGTTAAAATATGTAACTTGAATAAATTTTTACAGGTAATGTCAAATTTGTTTCTGCCTGGAAGTTTCTTGTGGCTCCTTCTTGCGCTTATAAAGTTATGAGGAATCAAAAATGCCGGAAAGAAATGTGGCAAATTTTAAATTGCAAAATTTTGACCTACTTTTTTAACTTTGAGAATTTGTAACTTGAAAAGTTTTTACAGCACAACATCATTCGCATGAATTCAGTAAATATATTACATTTATTATGCATTAAAAAGTCAGTGGATTCGAAAGGTGGGAATGTATTTTTCTTGCTTTAGCTGTTAGAGTTACATAATTTGAAATAAAATTTATACAGTACATATAAGTATTATGTCACAGGTCTACACAAAAATACCTTTGAAGCAGGTTTACTGTAATACACAAACTTACTAGATGTTTGTTTGTTTTTTTTCATCAAGTCTCGAACAACTAAATCACCTGTGTTGGCGTGCAGGTACACCTCAGCCCCCTGAAAGCTCTAATCTATATCAGATGTTATGAGGAGTCATAATAGACTGGTGTACGCCTTTTAATGCACAAATAACAGCTATTAAAAATGTTGTGTGATTTTCAATTCATGTCTATAAAATTATACATCCCTAGCAACCACCTAGCAACAAGCTGAAATTGCCCATTGTTAGCATATAAAGAAAGATTTCTCACTGTGATTGAGTATATCGGTTTGCCAACAGCATGAACACGTCAAAAATACTGTAGCATACACATGCTGACTTTTAAGTCTGCCTGTAGGGTCCTTGTGATTACGCAGACTGTGTGAATCCGGCACATTGAGAAAAGCAGCTCAAGTCATTGTCAGACTTTGGATCAGCCACACTACTGAGAGGCTGTCTGATTATTCACTGTCGCGCACACAGAGCCAGTCTTTGTGTTTTGAAGAGTCTCTCTGAGTCATCTGTCTCTGCGATGTAGTGAAACTGCAGCTGCTTGTCAGTGTCAAGGGTAGGGCCCGTCTGTCTGGACTCGAGTTAAGAAAAAACAGCCTCTGAGATCCATCGTTTGCCTGCACTGAAATCTAGAAAATGAGTCTGTGGTGATAAGTCGGTGCTTCACTACCTGACGGGAAGATAAGTTGTCCATCTTTCTGTAATTACTGCGATGTGTATGTCAGTTGGGAGTAGAGCAGGGCGATATGACCAAAAATATTTATCACAATATACATTTGAAAATTTGCGATAACGATATAACTGACGATATAATTGACACTAGACAAAATACTTTACAACTCCACAACTTTATTAGTTTAAAAAAACCCATCAATGTATTTTCACTTAAAGAAGCAGCTGTTTTTTTTTTTATTTTTGTTTTTTTTATGTGCATTAAAGTTATATAAAAATGTAACAATGCAAATTCCTTGCTGACAGTTTAACCAAAAGGCGTTTCCAGTGGAAACTGGCCGACATATCCTCAGCATAACCATGTATAATATCCACAAAACTTAAAAAGAGGTTATACACACACAATACGGTAATATTATGTTGAAGCACAGTACGTATCACTCCGCGAGGCGCCTGCCAACAATAGCCGTAATGCTCCGACAATCCATCAAGCGGTGCGGGTTCGTAGCTTAGCAAAGTCGTACTACATAAAATCATTTCGAGGTCAGTAAACACAACCAGAGTTCATACAGTAAGACACACGGGATTATAAGGGGCACTGTCGATTTTCAGAAAAATCAAAGGATTGATTTTAAGTGCCATATTTTCCAAACAACACGGTAATAACGACGGCCCGCTAGCATGCTCTACCAAAAATAGTGCTTTGTTGTGTATCTGACGGACGAAAGCCAAACCAGGAAACATCAAAAGTAGTCAAAATGGCCAATTATAGCCTGGACCCCAGAGGGTTAAACAACAAGTAACGCAATAGTTACTTTTCAAGTAATTAATTATTTTTAGAATCTTGTAACTCAGTTATTAACTCGGTTAATTTTT